TGAGACGCATGATGATACACATACAATCATAAGTATACATGTATAGTATCGTAGCACACGCATGGGTATCCCGAGGAGGATTAACACAGTTATTGTTTCGATTACACGGGAGATATGAGTTATTTAAACATTATATACATGTATGGATATCGCTGATGAGCACCGCTCAGTACTACTTGGGATAGTGCGTCGATATACCATTAGTACAGACCATTGAGTCGGGTTTTAGGATGATTGATCTAGTAGTCTGTCCCGCACGTAGATGCGATGAGGCATGTGAGCCGTATACCTAGGATGGCTTGATTTGGTAGTTTGTCCTGCATGTTGATGCGATGAGACCAATGAACCGTGTACACTATTAGGATGTTGATTTGGTAGTCTGCCCCGTATGATAATGCGATGAATTATAAACTTTGTAAGGATTTACATTGTGATAATTATCTAATGACATGAGTCTTGGTGGGTGCCATTATGAACATGACTCATCGCTGAGTTATATATGACCGAGATACTTTAATCTTTTAAGTACGCGGGATTATATGCAGTTGTTAACATTATCTTTCAAAGGATAGTGAAAGATATTTTTAGTCCGATATTTGTGATGACTTTACTTCCTTGTATTGCTTTCCGTTATTCCTAGTTTGGAATTGATAATTAGCTATTCACAATTTAAGACATATGGTATATACATGAGGGTTTTCTTGTTTGGATTATTTCGCTCGACGTACTAGTTTCGTGTTGTGAGTTTCTAATTATTAATTCTATTTAGATTGTTTTGGATTATTTCGCTCGACGTACTAGTTTCGTGTTGTGAGTTTCTAATTATTAATTCTATTTAGATTGTTTATTCTTAGTTCTTCGTGTTGTGAGTTTCTAATTATTAATTCTATTTAGATTGTTTATTCTTAGTTCGGTATTGATATTTACTTATCTACAATTTGAGGCATATGGTATATACATGAGTGTTTTCTTGTTAAGATTATTTCGCTTGACGTACTACGTCTCATGTTGTAGGTTTCTAAATATTAATTCCTTTTAGATACAGGGTAAATGATCTAGGTAGACTATGCTTAATAGATAGAGCATTCATCACATCTGGTTGTCATTCCCCTAAAGGCGGATGGAGATGATCTTACTGTAGCACTCTGACACTTTTGTTGTTTCTCTTTTTATTTTTCAATTCCTTTCAGGCAGCAGCTCAGAGTTCCGGAGAGCCGTAGGATGACGGACTTTCATCATAGTCGTCGTCACATGTTTTTAGTAGATGATACTCCACCATACTTGATATTTTCTTTCGGATATTTAGAGTTTTGTATTTCATCTTGTAAAGGTTGTGTGCCTTAGTTTATTTTCAGTTGACTCATATTAAGATACTTCACATTTATTTCAGACTTTAGTTGTATTTGGTTTATCCAGTTGAGACATGATTATATTTATTAGATATATCTTTCTACATCATGTCTAATACATTTATTTCCCTTGTTTTGCTTGTTTTGTACCTACACTTGTTATTGATTCCACTAGAGAGAGATTACTGTGATGGTGAAACGTGTTGTTGCACAGTGTGGATGCATGGCATGTTTGACATCTCTGGGTTCATCTTAGACTGCAGTCATGTGTGAAAACAAGGGCATCACAATTTAATCCTTAAGTTTGGATGTAACTTTGAGGATTTGAACTCTTAATTTATATTTAAATATTTCTCTCTAGATTGCCCCGTGGACAAAAGCACGATTCGCTGAACCATGTTAAATTTGGGTGTTGCTTGAGTGTGATATTTTCGTTCCTACCGCTATTTGTTTCTTGTGTTTAATTCTGCAGATGATCACTATAAAATTCCTAACTAGTAACAAAAAGAAATTTGGAATTTTGAAGTGGTGTTTTCAACCACCTAAGTACGACCATTTGCCATCAACGAGTAGGTTGACTTCTGCATGCAACGCCCCAATCAAATTGACGGCTCAAGCCCAACAAGAGTTCCAATTTAGCCGACTCGTCGAGTCGACCTTCCTTCATGTCGACTCGAAAGGTGGTACTAGTCGACCCTCTTGTCGAAGACGACTCGCAATGAGCTCACTCGACATGTTATTCGACACCTCATAATAACGACTCGAAATGCGTTATTTCTCGTCAAAGTTAAAGGACTTCGACCTTGAGCTTCCCCCACTGACAACGTCAACGTCGAATTTAATGCATGACAGACTCCATCATACCTCTAGCTCCAATAGTCTTCATGACTCATCGGACCACGTCGACACCGTCATGCCCCTGATCACTTCCTCATTTAATGTTGAGGTGATCCCTCCTCGAGTCGCCACCCGACACCTGTAAAGAGAGTGCAGATGCGGCCGCCAACGCCACACTTCCTTAATGTCATTCTGTGCTCAGCCACAATGATGGTTCTGCCCTTTCGGCACCACTATATATATAAGGTATTGTTCTAACATAAACTGACTTTTAGGATCAATCTTTTTTGATCTGTTATCTGCAAATCATACTGCACACACAAGAATTCTGACAGTTCTTCACTTTCCTCACTCAAGCTCACCAGCTGACTTGATCGTCAGAGGAACCACGGGGTAACGAAGCTCCGTCCTCTCACGGGTTTCTATATGTGCAGACTTTTCAGTCACCCAACTCGGAATCAGATATTCAGAGAAGGAAGTGGCCCCTCATCAATTTCAACAACTCATATCCAACCACGGATATAATTGACTGTGTGATCACTTAACATCAACAGTTTGTATGCAACAAGCCGAACATAGAAAATCTAGTCAACGAAGCGATATTGATTGATCGTTACGATGAATTCCATAGGATCAGTTGTCGTAGAGGTGGGGGTTGGTTCAGCTCCAGTGATCCTCAAAGTGTGTGCTTGAGTGCCGGAACCAGAAGCGTCGGTTGTCTTCCGCTTCATTGAGCGTGTCTATTGGCACGAGAAAAGGGCTCATGTCAACAACATGTTCTCTTATTTCTCTAGTTCTCACTTCATAAGTTCCATAGAGCCTTCTAGGTATGATGCGATTTGCGTCAGTCCATGAAAAGTTTCTGGGAACAGTGTTGTTGGGGAAGTTCTGCCAGTCATCCACATCTCGGTAGGCCATGTTTGGAGAACAGACCTCTCTAATGATGTAGGCTATGGTCACATCATCCATAGTGTAATTACCTTCAAAAGGGAGCCACGCTAAGCACATTTCGTTGTCGTGCCAATCGAATAACCAGGGTGGTCTTCTAGTAATGGTTGAAACGAGGAATGATACATTCCAAGCTCTACTATCACGCATTCTCATCAGCACGCCTTGTGCTAAATCAAAGTTGTCAGTGAAGCCGTCGATGTTAAACGGATTGTGGATGTTGGTCTAGTCGGTTTCAGTATTGATAACTAGCATATACATTACATCTTCACTAATTCCCTTAATGTGAGTAGGGTGAATAGCAACATGTAGTAGACACATATATTCGTCATATTCATGACTTCTGTGAGCTTCTTCATGCTCATAGTATTGTGTGAATACAATAGGGCTAATTACCCTA